GACTCTGGGATGCCCACAGATTTCCTGCGAAGACTTTCGTGAACGGCTCTGTGCAGCCTGGTGCCAACATTGCCAGGCTGCGCACAGCAATCGATGTCTTGGGCTTGCGGCTCTTGCGATTTCTGGGCCCTTGAGCGACCTTGATTCTCAACAGAAGCGGAACTGTGCAGAAACTCCGAAGGTTTTACACTGAGCTATCTGCTGCCACAATGGCCCTGGACCAAACCTTCAAAACAGTCGATTCACATCTTCATCACATTGACTCTCGCTCTACCGAGGCTGCAACATCTCCTGGTGGCCACGCTAGAGTCTGTGGGCGGTTCGACCTTTATACAGTCAGTTCACATGCTCTGTCGGCGTCAGAGCAGTCGGATCGAGGACCGCACTCTCTGTCCGCACGCACAAAGATCTTGCGGCCTCCGTTGAGATCAGAATGGACAAAAAGGCCCCCCACGGAATTCCGCGGCTGTGCAGCTTGGGCTCCGAGGATTTCTGTGCCAGTTAGCTGCTCGACAGCAGCTGCCGCCTGCAGTGAGACACGTCTCAGCGTCTCGCCGGACACAAGTCTCGCGCGGCATCCTCAATCGGATCGGCCAGCGCCGCGATGCGCCGCGATGCGCCGCGATGCGCCGCGCATGTGGGGGGACCCAACGACCCAGGCCTCCTCCGTTGTGCTGAATTCCACGATGCCGGCACCTTGCGAGAAGATTTCACTGCCAAGCTCCCGACACCACCGCATCCATCCGACCGGAAAAACGAAGACAAAAGCGAGAGCACATGGCCGCGCGTCGCCTTTTGATCGAGCGCCCTCGAGGTTGCCTTCGCTCAAGATGTCCGCTCGCTTCACCTCTGCGACTCGCGAGCGTGAGATTCCGTTGCAGGACGGGCGCTGGATCCGCTTCCGTTTCCACCGTCCGCTTTCAAGGCCTCGCCAACAGATCTGAAGTGGTCCTTCAGGTCCTCTCAGTGATTCTCAGTGCACAAAGAGAACAGACAGAAGCTGATTTAGGCTCACAGCGGGCCTTCCATGTTGCGATCCAGGCAAGGTTGCCGACGTAGACCCTACAGTCCTCTAAGAGCACAGGCTTCATGCTTCCGCCGTTCCGCCGTCACCCTACCGAGCTCCTTTCGCTCGCGCGTGCTCTGGTCTACCCGATCCTGCACAGACGTGATCGCCCTTGGACTCGCGCTCACAGGGCAGCCAGCAGGGAGCCTCCCGCACGGCAATTCGCCTTCCGGAAAGTTCGGAGTCGTTGAGTTCCAGGACCTGGGCACGAATCAGAGAAGCCCTGCCGACAGCAGGCTTGAACAATGAAAAGACCCAAACGATTGCCCGACCCCCCCGAGAATCGCAGAGCTTGCAGCTTCAAGATCCCACACAGCACGAATCTATCGACGGGCATTCTGCTGTTGCTGAATGTTCCAGCTGATCGACGGGACCAAGAGGATCACTCTTGCCCACTCGCAAGCTTGAAGAGGGCTGTTGATATCACCAAGTCTGGTGGAGAAGTTTCTGATCGTGAGAACAGTCGACGTAATTATCGGGCACGGCGAATGGCATTGAGGACAGGGAAGTGCTGTAGAGATTGACAGCAACAGCGCAGCATGCCCCGTTCGGGAATGACGTGTCCGGATTCAGGCCACAAGGCGGAAGCGCTCGATGGCGTGCCGCTGAACAACAAAGAACTGACTGGCAATTCATGTAAACGCGCTTCACAAGCTTGAGAACACAGTGTCAGCGTAAGAACTGTACAGCCCGCTGTGCGTCCTCCGCACGGCGGAAGGCCACCAAACCGCATCCACGGGATCGGCCGGTTTCCTGCTAACCGGGCGCTGTGTTTGGCCACAGAGCAGGGATCGACTCAACGTGCGAGAAAGAGCAGGATTGCAGATGGGTTATGATTATGCAAAGGTCCTCTGTGAAGATGTCTGCGTACACCACCTCTCCGACAGATTTCATATGGTCCTCCGAGGTAGGGAGAAGTCAGCGTACATGCATCAACACTGGCAGTCCTAAGGATAGACTCACCAGGCAAGCGACACCGCCTTCAGTTCTTGCCATGCCACACGCCACGGAAGATTGCTGACATAGACTCTGTTCTCTACCTCGACAGCATTTGCTGAGTCCATTCTCAAGAAGTTTTGTGGTCAAGTAGGCATGGCATTGGCTGGGCCCCGACGGGGCCATGCATGACAGGCATCCTGCTTCCCTTGCCACCGTATCCTCCATATGGCCGGTACACCTGCGCAGCTACCCGTCTTCAGAGCAGATCTCACAAAGAGTGATAGCCAGGACACTGCCTGGCCCCAGCCCTTCATCTCAACCTGGTTTCATGCACTTTGGCCGTTCAGCCGGTGGTGCTCAGCATTACTATGCGTACTTTACCAGCACCGTATTTGTCTGCCCTTTCGCCTAGTTAGTCTTTTAAGTATCGGGTGCATGGAAGTCCTCGAAACACATTTCTCGCCAGCTGTGTCGGCAACATCGTGAATACTTCTTGCGTGCACAGAAGGCCGCTGTCAGTATACCAACTTCCCGCATTTGAGCCAACCTCACAACCGCGCAGTGAAAGGACATTTCCAATTTGCAGGCACATGGAAAAGATTTTTCAGACAGGTGCAACGGATTCCCTGCACATGTCAATGATCATTCCCGCGCATGTTCTTGATAATGCACACGCGTTTCTTTGATAATTCGCGCTGTTCTCTGGTAAAGCTGGCCTTTTTTCCCGAACCATGGCGCAATGAAAACTCCAGAATTTTGTGAGAAAGACAGCTCCCTGTATACATACATACATGCATGCATAATTACATACATACATACATATACACTACATACATACATACACATATACATATACATATACATATACATACACATACACATATATACATAT